GGCGTCTTTGATAGTTTCGACTCTACTATTATCTTATTTTTACATACCCAGCCTTCAGGAGACTGAAGCAACAGCAAAGAGATTTGTGGCAAGGTCCTTGAGTAACAGTGATGCATTGATGCATTTACCGTGTCAAGGGGAGCAAATAAATAGTATTTTACTTGACGACTGTGATGCATGAGTACTGCCCCTTGTGGTTGAAGAGTCCCAGCCTAGAGTGTCCATCGTGTTGACAGTTCGCTACCTTGGAATTACAAAGTTCTATCAGAAATATTTGGCCGTTTTGAGTTCTAAGACCATGAGGTTAGAAAACAAATATTCTTTCTGCTCCATCATAATAGCTTGACATGTTGCTAAACTCAAAATTTTTAACATCACATTTCTCAAAACTAGGTACTGAGCAGATAGAACATTGTAATTTTAGGGTAGCGAGTTGTCGGAAGCGAAGGTAATCATGTCACATGTCTGTTGTAAAAGACCAAGTGAAATGTCTTTAAAGTATCTTGTAAGAGAAAGTCTGCTAAGTAAAAGGAAAACAACACTCTAGGCTTGCTCAGACTTTATTTGTCTAATGAAGACGTTCAGCATTTCGGAAGGGTCTACTTTGAACAAATTCGTGTTTCAGAGAACCACTAATGTATCAACTTTCTTTAAGAACAGAAAACAAACGTATCACAAGTTTTCCTTAGAGAACGTCTTTTTTCATTATAGAAGGTACTCTTGTGGTTTCAAAGCCAAAAGCTACTTTACCTAAAGGTTCCTTTAGCTTTTCTTATCATCCCGGCTACAGTCTTAGTTTTAGTAAGAGTTTTACGGCACGTGCACCACAAATTGGTCATATAAGTTCCGAATATTAAAGGTGTTAATAGGTAGTAAGATACACGGAAAAGAGGGAAGAGAGACGTACGATAAATGTTTGATAGGAAAGAAGGAGCAAACTATTCTAAAGCACCCGTCAACCACCCACTATCCCGACTATGACTCATGTGGCTCGGATCCTTCTTCTGTTGGTTCAAGGACGAGGGGAAGTGGTGGATGGGCCAGTGGGGCTTACTATAGGAGGAAGAGGGCTTGATGGAAGCTGGAATGTACAGGGGAGAGAAAAAAAATACAGTCTGTTTTTGGGAGTAAGAATGTGACGTCTTGGTTCAAAATCATGACAAAATATTCTAAGTGGACTTAACCACAAAACTGTCTAAACACTGTTACATCTGTTAGCCAGTTCAAAAAATACACACACACACACACACA